AAGGAATTGACAGGGTAGATAAAGATAAACTGTTTAACACGAAGGCAAAGATTGACAATAAAAGTGTCCCCTCACTCGAAACGTCGGGTACCGCAGTATTACGGGTGAGTGTGTGCGCCTCCCAAACACCCGGCATCAAAAGAAAGAATAATCAACAAAGGCAAAAAGTTGGCGGGAAGTGACAATCAGAAAGGAAGAGAGTGGGAGGAAAAAAGAAACATAAGGAAGAGGAAAAACCATCTAGCACAATTTGTGAAGACGGCAGCAGGAGCATAAGGCTTCAAAAGGACAGAGGACTGCCCCAAGGAGCATCACACCCCGGCAGCCACCCACCAAGCCCCCTCATGACGACAACGGGCTGGAAGGGGAGGGGGTCTGGAGGTGTAAAGAGGAAGAAGGTTGTGCTAACAATTAAGGACGATTTATGTTTTTTTCACAAGTTACTCTGTGAAAATGGCCGGTTGGATGTGAGTGTTGCTTAGGAGATTGGTATACAGTAGTTACTAGTACTGTCTCTGATATAAGGAAACAAAAACATGAATACTTGAAATACATTTCAACCAGTAACATAACAGTGAAGGTGCAAGCACTAATAGAGGATGCAGTAAAAAAATCTCTAAAGCCTTCACAGAATGCAGTTGGATGAGGCTGTGAAGAAGTGGTTTGCACAGCACTGCACAGATGGTGTGACAATTTGAGTGCAGAAATAAGAAATCCTGCAAGCTGGTTTGCAACCAGCCTTGGAATATAGGATTTCCGAGCAAGTGTTAGTGGATTGCAAGGTTTAAAGCGAGGCACAATATTGAGAGGATAAAAATTGTTGGTGAAAAATTGAGTGCAGATACAAGCAGTGTCGAACCATTTAACCCCTCAACTGCACGACTTCCAAATATGGCACCCCCCTAGTGCACAGGAAATAAATTCTCTGGATTTTTTGTTTTTTTTTGTTTGAAAGTGTCAAAAACCCTTCCCTGAGTATGAGTATAGTAACTGAAAGTCGAAATTGTACCTACTTTGGCTGCTATGGGGTCCGTAAGTTTGGGTGTGATGTCACCATTCCCCGTTCGCCTGTGGCATACGCTTCCAGGGCCAGTAAGGCACCCGGGGCATGATGCTCGCGCTGCCACGAATATATTTTTGTTCATTTTTTGCGTACAGTTCCAAATACATTCTATTTGTTTTTACGTGCCAATCCTTTGTATAATGAACACTTACACTATATTATGGCAATAGAACATCCATAGTGTTCAAAGACACTGTTTCCTGCATGACATATGTGTATACATATCCGGCACATATTTCCAATGTATCATGCTAATTTATGTATATATACAATCTATTTACACACTGTACAGTATCACACACTATATACACACTCACCATAAACACACTCAGAACTCCAAGAGTGTGAGCTGCCACACCCAGCCAGCCAGCCAGTCCTCTCTCCAACATCGTACTCGCCATTACTCTTCCTCCCACCATACTGTTATTGTTTTCATTACACTATTTACATATGTTATGTATACCTATCTACATGTTTTATTCACCAGAACTATGCAAGTAAGCCGGTATTGTACCCAAACAGTACAGTGGCCACCTGCTGTCTGCTGCATGAGAAATCACACAGCAGACAGCAGACGACGCTACGATTACGTCGCCTCCTTCACCAAAATAGCTCCTCTCAACATAATCCTGTTGCTGTTATTACACTGTATACACACATTGTATATACCCATGTACATATGTGTTTCCCATAGTGAACCACTAAGCTAGCATGTGAGCAAAACAAAGAGTGGCTGCCACACACAAAGTGAGTCTACCTCGATTGCTACTCAAAGCGCTAATTATCCAATAATTATCACCACACTCCTGCTATTACCACAATCCTGGTCACGAATTCCTGTAAATAAAAATTTACCACAAGTGTATTTTATAAAGGAACCTAAGAAGTCATTTGAAGATTCCTAGATGGACAAAATAATGCCGTGGTGCTGTGGCTAGCGCTGTGAACATCGTGAACAGCATTGAATCACTAATATTTGAATATTGTACACAATCATTATCACACTCAGGCTCTTCTGTAATACTATCATGGCTAAATAATACATGTTATATATATATATAATGACATTATTAGGCAATACTGTGGTCACAAGCTGAACAGCAGTGCTGTGAGCTCATGCTGCATGTGCCGGCCTTGGTTGCTCACTCAGTACTGAGGCTCTCACACCCGGGAATGTGGATCACGATTTCTTTTAAAGATGACGTCTGTTTACAAGAGCCCTGAGGAAGCCGATGTAAACCCCATGTAGCCGCAAGAGTTTCGAATGGAACGTGAAAAATACAAATGCCCGGAGGCGCGTTGCGCAAACCAAACAAGGGCCTGCATATGCACATTTTAAGGGTTAAACACAAATTAAGAATATACTTTTGGCTAATAATTTTTATTCTTATCAAATCTATAACGGTGATGAAATTGGGCTATATTTGAGTAGTTTTCTTGAAAAAACTCTAGCTATGAGGAGTGAGGGTTGTGTGCCAGGGCATAAGGTCAACAAGGACAAGCTGTCAGCCATGATGGGTGCCAATGGCACAGAATGAATCACGTGTGCAATTGTTGGCAAATCCAAGAAATCAAGAGTCTTTCAACATTGCTTGGACAGACTGCCTGTGAAATATTGTAGCTCAAAGAATGCATGGTTTACACGGGAGATTTATCTTTCTTGGTTTTGTGATGTGTTGTGCAAGGAAATTCGTTACCATCAAATTAAGAAATTCAAAGTGAGGCCAAGCAAAGTTCTGGCTTTGCTGTTGTTTGATAATGCACCTGCCCACCCCAGAATTGGCACCTTATCCTTGCATGATGACAAGATAACGTTTATGGCACTTCCTCATACCACCTCTCCGTGTTATCCGTGCCACAAAGAAATTGTACACCAAAAAGACACTCGATAAAGATTTGGTAGTTTTGCCTCTCAAGGAAGATGAAGAACTTGGCATGGACAATAGGGCTAAAAGAACCCTTGAAAATTTGAAGAACTACTCCATCAAGGAAACAATTTATAACTGGGCCAAAGTGTGGAATGAAGTAAAGGAATTGAGTTTCAACAATTTCTGGAATAAAATCCTCAAAGTAACAGTCAACAATGAGGAGGAAAATATGAATTTTTAGGGATTTGCAGATGAAATCCATGGAATGTTCAGAAATGGTGTGTTCAGAAATGCCGGCAAAAATTTAGACATACATGATGTGGTTGATTGGCTTGAAAGAGATGCTAATAACCCAGGATATGGTGTGATGAGTGAAGAAGAAGTTGGCCAGTCCGTTACTGGTGAGGTTGATGAAGAGACAGAGGATGACCATGGAAATGATGAACCAACACCACAGACAACAAAATACAGCTTACTCGTTTTCTGTTGACATGTTAATTAATTTTTCATCTCACTGTGCTAATCCAGAAGTTAGTAACATATATCAGTACTAGAGGCAAACCAAAGAGCTGATCATAAGAGAGGCTAATGAACACAGGAGGGAAGCTAAGCTCTATTCTTATTTGGTAAGAACAGCCAGCAAAGGCTCTTCAACCAGGGAAGCCTCACAAGTAAGCCAAAGACCTTCAACCAGTGAAGCCTCACAAGCAAGCCAAGGACCTTCAACCAATGAAGCCTCACAAGCAAGCCAAGGGCCTTCAACCAGTGAAGCCTCACAAGCAAGCCAAGGATCTTCAACCAGGGAAGCCTCACAAGCCAAAGACCTTCAACCAATGAAGCCTCACAAGCAAGCCAAGGATCTTCAACCAGTGAAACCTCACAAGCAAGTCAAGGACCTTCAACCAATGAAGCCTCACAAGTAAGCCAAGGGCCTTCAACCAGTGAAGCCTCACAAGCAAGTCAAGGATCTTCAACCAGTGAAGCCTCACAAGCAAGCCAAGGATCTTCAACCAGGGAAGCCTCACAAGCAAGCCAAGGATCTTCAACCAGGGAAGCCTCACAAGCAAGCCAAGGATCTTCAACCAGGGAAGCCTCACAAGCAAGCCAAGGATCTTCAACCAGGGAAGCTTCACAAGCAAGCCAAAGACCTTCAACCAGTGAAACCTCACAAGCAAGCCAAGGATCTTCAACCAGTGAAGCCTCACAAGCAAGCCAAGGATCTTCAACCAATGAAGCCTCACAAGCAAGCCAAGGATCATCAACTAGTGAAACCTCACAAGCAAGCCAAGGACCTTCAACCAGTGAAGCTTCAGCAGCTAGCAGTCAAAACTGACCTTGCCAAGCTCATGTAATGTTAGCATTGTTAGGTTAGGTTATGTAAATTTGTCAGAATTCTTAACTTAAAGATGTGTAGCATCAATCGGGTGTAACTTACCTTCAACAAGGTAAACCGAAGTTTGTTTTAAAATTAAAGTACTAATAAATGTTTTTTTTTAACACTTTCGTCCGGTGACGACGCAGCATTGCGTCATCAGTTTACTGTCGGTAATCTCGGTAATGACGCAATGCTGCGTCGTCCACTAAAATAATTGCAAAAATCAGGTTTTTATCCAATTTTTTGGGGACTGGTTTTAAAATGCGTGCGATAAAACAAATGTTCAACCCATGTTATTAAGAACTCCATACACATGACTGATACCAAAGTCTGACATTAGCATATCAGCCTAGTAAGCTCCAGGGAGCCTCCGAGACTCTCCCAGAAAATGGCATTTCATTACATTCAATGCTGGGTTTTTTAATGTTACAGTGCCTGTTTTGTATATTAAACAGTTGGATACTGTGTAACCAATTGCTGTTCTTTTTAAACATTAAATGTAGAGAAATAATCAAGGTAAGAGTAGACATTAATTGTAGATAACTTTTTGCATTTATAGGCAAAATGTTACCAAGTGTTAAAGTTTACTCTGATACAGTAATTGTGTTTCTCTGCACTGTTGTCACCACTTTATTGTTTTTACTACCAATTGGATTAAACTCTGCTTATAAATCCTAATTTGTTTCCTTAACAGACTTTAGGCAAGATAACCAATTATATATGGGATGGACAAACTCCTGCTGTGACTATTCAGTATGCTTCACGGCGTGAGGCAGAGAAGGCCATGAGCGAGGGTCGGACTCTTGGAGACCGTCTTCTCACCCTTACGTGGGTCTTTGATACTGCTCTCCCAATCTCCACACAGTCCACAGCAACGAGTATGGCAGGACCTCATCACGTATCGTCACATACATACACCAGTGTTGCTCCACACACCACTACGCCATTGCTCTCTTCAGATGACACTCTGGTGAGTGGTGTTAGGTATTCATTGTTATATCCAGAAAATAAACTAAAACAAATTCATGCATAGTATAGACTTTTTAAGCTGGAAACTTATGAGTTGTAATACTGTATTCATCATCTTGCAGGTTGTAGTGATAATACATTCCCAATATATCATGAGCAATGTGTAGGCTTCAATTTTTATTTATTCTTAAATTCTTTTCTTTAGGAGGAGATTACAGAAGAAATTGTAGAAGAAGTCGAGACAGAAGAAGGTGAGCAACCAGTTCTGTTTGAAGAGGAAGAGGAAGAAGTAGAAGAAGATGAGGAAGAAGTAAGATCCTGGAGGAGGTAGATATGGCATTAGTGAAAAGTGATGGACATAAGAGGAAATGTGTGAATTTACTGATAACAAATAAAAATTTGTTTGGTTTAATAATGCAGTGCAAGTGGTTCAGACAGACGTGATAGATTCGAGACAGAACAATTAAGAAGGTTCTCATTGTTAAACTTTAACTTGTAAGAAAATGACATGCAGGAATAAAATTATCTTAACAGTTATTATTTTTTTTTAACTAATTTATATTAGTAGTAGCAACAAACTATGACTCGGATGAATTGATAAGACCAGATATTGCCCATCACTCATTCTTGATATCAGTTGTTTCTTTTCAGTGTTAACTTAAGTGCGTATTTTTTGTTTTGTGGTTGCTCATCAGTGTAATAATGGTATCTAGGTTGTACAGTTTCCAGCTCTGATGGATGGCAGTGTTTTGTATATAAAATGAGATGTCAGTCACAATGTTCATTGATATCTATTATTAAGGTTAACGTGTATGACACTTTTTACTAATCCTTAGAAACCCAATTTGCATTTAATTGGTGCAGTACAGTAGGTATATGAAATCACAAGCAGGAAGTTGCGGCAAAAAAAAAAAAAATTGTATTATGGCTAATTGATTTTTAATATTTTTTGAGTAAATTAAACAACTAAATACTGTATGTGTGAAATGTTTTTTTGCTAGTTAGATATGGTAAATGTAATTGTTTAAAGTAGCATCTAATCCATAATTAAGTTTATCTTAGATATGATATTAGTTGGTAAAATTTCAGCGGGGTGATTTAAACCAGTAGCACAATACATCATAGTAAAAAAAGATCAATAAAAGTATCATTTTGATTGACAAAGATAGCTTTGTTCATTTAAAGATAGCTAGTTATTAGTACAGAGAGATTATTTTGTTTCAGTAGGTAATATAATTGTCTTAGAGGGTATGGTGCATAATTTCAACGTTAAGAAATGTTGATTCTGTATTGAAATTGTTATACTTATAAATAATCAATATATTTATGTATACTGTATATCAAGCATTTGATTATTTTGAATCTACTGTTTTAATGTACTCAGAGTAATAATTTGATGAACATTTAGTATGGTATTATTTATTAACCATACTCTCGTACCAATATCGATTCCATTGAACCATTGTTTGGCCGAACATTCCTGCCATATTTGAGGTGTAAGATCGTGATTCTTGTCTTCTGTCACTGATTTTCTGAATCTTCAAGGAATATAAATGATATTTAGGACCCCTTGAATGTTCTGTAATGCAGACAGTGCTATATAGCCTTTTGGTCTTGGCTCTATTATTATTATTTTTTAAATTTTGGACAGTCACACTAGATTTGCATTGATACAATAATGTCAAATTTTTACTGATTTGTTTTATTGAAGAAGACAGTGCTAATACCGCCTGTTTTGTAGACTTGTAAACATGATTGAGGATTCTTAGAGTATGGAAATATACTATATATACTATACATGTATAGTATACATAGTATATTATGGCCATTTCATCTGCTTTTACATACAGTATTAAGCTTTGATGGAAAGTTTGTGAGAAATAATTGAAATATTCACAAAACATGTTGTGAGAAAGATGTTTTCCATGGTTTCAGGTAAATAAGGTCGAGCACTGAGAATGTTGACAGTTTTTATCATCATGTTTCTGAGTGCAACCAAATTTCAAAACCTATGTAATTCAATTAAACAAAAATAACTATATGAGATAAAAAACAAATGGGAGTGCTTTTGTGTATTAACTCATTATTATGTTTCTTTTTTTTCTTGTATACTTATATGTGATATTCCATTTTCATTGAAAAGATTTAGGTGCTCTTTAGGAGCACCTTTAGGAGCGCCAAGTCACTTTAGGAGATTTACCTTTTCAGTTCTTCTAATATGCAAGTTAAATTATTTAAATCTACAGGTAAATATTTGTTGAGCAACAAAGGAAGAAGTAATGATGTTATCAATCCTTTTTAATGTTATCTTGAGGTTATCTTGAGATGATTTCGGGGCTTTAGTGTCCCCATGTTGCTCACTCTCTCAATCTCTCTTGCTTTAAACATTAGTTCATAACAACCTAATAAGCTAAAATGTTAGTATTTTCGATGATTTTCATCTTACCCAGTAATTATATTAGCAGCTTGCCGTATTCTCTCACATACACACACTTCTTATTAATGTGGCATAATTTTTACTGATTTAATTGTAAAAACTTTTATGTTCTTTATAAAATTATAGTATACAAGATTTCCATGTTAATTTGAGAATAATATTTTGGCAGACTTAAATTAAGCAAGAAACCCTTTAAGTAAATCTTAAAACCAGTTCCATAACTTGCTCGGTAATTATAAATGTTATTTTATTAATCTCTACTATATATATGCAGTTCTTACGTAAATCAATAAAAATTGTGGTTACTGTTTAACTAATGTGGCAGTTTTAACATCCCATTCTTTGTTATCTTGCATTTGTTGGCAGTCAATCATATTATTTTAAGCTATCATTTATTGAATAAATTTTGTAATATATTTTTTTGCCTTTGTGCCATAAAATGCTCCATAATGAAGAACAAATATTGCCCATGCTCTGCACAACTGCTTTGTCAAATAGATTGTGATAGAAAAGTTGCAGGTTGATGGGATATGCGTGTTTGGTTGACTATAGACAGCAGTTGAAGGTTAAATGCTTACTTGATATACCAAGAGGTCACAAAATTATCTAGGCAGGCATCCAGTGAAAAGTTGTAAGTTGGGGAAATTTACATGCTGAAATTTTAGGTACATCAAACAATTTGTTATAGATTAACTATCAACTCGGTGATGATTAATTTGTGGTGCATAATTACCCAGACTGGTTTAATACACACAAGCATTACTTAAAATAAATATATATATAATATATATAATTATATAATATATATATATATATATATATATATATATATATATATATATATATATATATATATATATATATATATGTCGTACCTAGTAGCCAGAACTCACTTCTCAGCCTACTATGCAAGGCCTGATTTGCCTAATAAGCCAAGTTTTCATGAATTAATTGTTTTTCGACTACCTAACCTACCTAACCTAACCTAACCTAACTTTTTCGGCTACCTAACCTAACCTAACCTATAGAGATAAGTTAGGTTAGGTTAGGTAGGGTTGGTTAGGTTCGGTCATATATCTACGTTAATTTTAACTCCAATAAAAAAAAATTGACCTCATACATAATGAAATGGGTAGCTTTATCATTTCATAAGAAAAAAATTAGAGAAAATATATTAATTCAGGAAAACTTGGCTTATTAGGCAAATCGGGCCTTGCATAGTAGGGTGAAAAGTGTGTTCTGGCTACTAGGTACGACATATATATATATATATATATATATATATATATATAATATAAGACATTGGTGTTCATTGTTTTATTAGAATTGTCATAATAAAACAATATGCAGTAGGCACTTTTATTTTATTTTAATTGGAAACACTAATTAGAAACTGGTTTGCTATTTAACATATGTTGATCATGAAGTTCCATGAGACAAAACATTACATTAGTTTTGTTTGTAAATTAATTATTTTGGGCACTTTGAAGATGTGACTAGACAAAAATTATATATTAATATAAGTATTTGTGACTTGGCTTGCTTAAGCAGCTTCTTGATTCTACTAGTATTTGTTAGTGAAAGAGTGCAATAAAACGCTGCTATTCAGGTACACAGTCATAGATGGCTCCATACCAAAATTAACCATTATGAAGAACTGAAAAAAAAATAATGACTAGATTTACTGTCTAAATTGTCATTATCAAAGTTGATTTAGTATTACTTAAAAAAGCATCATGTCTGTGTACATTAATTTTAGATCTAGGAAATAACATGACATGCACTTAGCAGCCTCGTGTAACCAGCATTTAATAGTTACTCCTGGATTAAAGTTCAATGTTAAAATAGCAAGCACAGTATTATGAATATTGTGGAGACAGTGCCTCTTCAATGAACATTTTTAATATAAAAATAACTGACATTTTGTAAGAGACGCTATACTTAAAGCTTATATTAACAGCTACATTATTATAAATTGTTATATCAGTGATCTATATTGGTTGCTTTAGGGTTAAATGACATGCTTTGCATTTTTGGGAAAGATTATATGGTGAGGTCTCTGGTAATTAATATTAATATCTTGAAAATCACCACTGGTCTTAACATGGCTTGATCAAATTGTCATTAATTTTAAGGTGGCAACACTCTTGCCAGCTAGTCTACATCTTGTTTAAGTGTGTATTCTTCATATTAGACATTGACCATTAGTGCTGCAATGCACCATTTGTATGATAGAGCAGAGCACCACATTTGTTATATTAAATATATTCATTTAAGTGTACTTAATATCTTTAGTAAGCTATATGAAATTACCTTTTCCTGAAGATAATTTTTAGGGAAAAGGTAGTTGCATTTCAGAGAGTTAAGTCTAAACACAAATTGGAAATGCTTTTTCTTAAAAGTAGAAGGAATATATGAATAAAATATAATTTTTTTCTTTCCCCAGTTATTGTTAATGAAGAGATCAGTATATACTATTAGACTTGATTACACAGCTGATGATTAAAATTTAAGTAACTTGAATGTTATATAACTTAGTTGAAGGAAAAAACTGAGTCTGTTTAATATTAATGTTTGGCAGTGTGTAGTTTCCTCTTCCACTATACTGTATTGTTATTGTGCTCATCGGTATTCTTCACTTATCATTATCAATGAAGTAATGAACTAATAGTGTCATTTGATGAGTAACAGTATTAAGGTACTTTTTTTGGTTTTGGATGAATTTGTTATAAAACAAAACTTGGTGTGCATAAAATTATACATTAGTGTTGGGTACAATATTAAGCTGTTACCCATGTTCATGAAGGTGTTAATGACCATTACTCAACACTGACTACTGCATTGGTTGCAATAATAGCACACAGTTATTCATTTATTTATGTTAGATAAATTTATTGGTGTGGTATTTTTTTTTCCTCCAAGACAGAAATAGCTTATGTGCAGTTTAGTGTTAACTGTTGTACTGAAGTAGAGTAAAGATCTCTAAAAGGAAATGTATTGGTTTTTGTCATTATAGATGATCTGACCATATGCTCTGTCAGTTGTCTGAAAATGGACCACCAACTTTAGGTTTTAAGGCCTTAGTACTAAGAGTATAATATGTCAATTGAAATAGCCTTGCTCTAAATATTCATCATCAAAGATTTTGCTTCACCATGGCCTAGGGCTTTTTATTATTTTTGCATGTGCATGTTTGTGCACATACAGGTATGTGTGTGTGTGTTGTTTTAGTGTCTACACCTGTGTGTATGCACACAAGTGGCTGTGTGTATTGTGTACTTTTTCATATTTTAGTAAGCTATATTTAACATGTCATTCTTCATAATTATGACAAAAATTGCACAGGCATTGCAGTGCATAGTTTGGCATGTAGCTCATTCAGTCACTTAAATCAGTCATATGTATTTGAAATATAAATTTTGTTCTTAGTTATTGTACATTGTTGTAGTCAGAGTTTAAACTCTAGGAATTCCTATTAGAGTCTTAAGCCAGTGTTTCACAAATATGTCCATTTGATATTTAATGATGCTGTTGTATACACCACTGTATATAAATACTTGTTTGTATCGTTGAGATATATTTGAAAAAACAACATATGGACCAAACAAGATTGCAAAACAAAGCATGCAAAAAATATATTTTTAAAGCATGCACATTAAGGTCCTGTACAAAAAAAAATATGTATATACATGGTTCATTGAATACAATATAAAAAAAAAAAGGAAAATGAACCACAAAATATAGTTACAAAAGGGATTATATAGACAACCAATCATCTCATTATTCCATTTCACAAATAAATTAAATTGCATCTCCATACTATCATAATATTTATTGTTTTACTGACAAATTGATCCTCATACCTAGTGCCTTTGTCCCCATTCCATTCCAGCTCGTTGTTGCCGTGAGGGGGGCATGGTGGGCGGCTGCCGGAATGTGATGCTCCTTGAGACAGTCTTCTGACCTTTTGTACCCTTGTGCTCCTGCTGCTGTCCTCTCTGATTGTGCTGGACAACTTTACCTTTTCCTTATGTTTTGTTTTTGTCATTCCCCGCCAACCTTTTGCCTGTTTTGATTCTTTCGGCCTTCCTTTATTTTGGTGTCTGGGTGTTTGGGGAGGCATAGTCTTGCATCCGTAGAACTGTAGTACCCAACGTCTCGAACGAGGGGACCCTTTTATTGTCACTCCTCCTTTCGTCACTGAACCCGATCTCGACTACTGACGGTTCTTAAGGTGGCATTTGTGGGGCGTATACTCACGCGTATACTCCAAGGGGGGGGGGGGCCCCGGCAAGATCGGCAGCATGTCTTTGTTGGGTGTCCTGCCACTAATTGTGGCTTCATGGTGGGTGTGGTGGCACATTCGTGAATGAAAGTCTATCATCATTTTTTGTCATAATGTTTTTCTTGTACATTCTCAGGCTTGTGGGTTGGACAACCAAGCCCCTGAGTCTGACTTTGTTGGAAGACCTGGCTCTGTAGCCCCTGCTGCATTGGGCCCTGACCTTGCTCCTCCAATGACCCCCCCCCCCCCTCACTGTCTGGCTCCTCTCCGTGAGGGAGCTTGGTGGGCAGCTGCCGGAGTGTGATGCTCCGTGGGTCAGTCCTCTGTCCTTTTGCAGCCTTATGCTCCTGCTGCTGCCTTTACCAATTTTGCCAGGCCGCTTTTCCTTTTACTCGTGTTTCCTTTTTCTCCCCCTCTTCTCTTATCTAATTGTCATTTCCTGCCGACCTTTTGCCTGTTTTGATTATTTCTTTCGACCTTCTTTTGTTTCGAAGCTCGGGTGTTTGAGGAGGTATACTCTTGCACCCGTAGAACTGTAGTACCCAACGTCTCGAGCGAGGGGACCCTTTTATTGTCAATCCTCCTCTCGTCACTGAACCCGCTCTCGACGGACTCACGGTTCTTAAGGTGGCGTTTGTGGTGCGTATACTCACGATGCACCCCTGGGGGGGCCCCGGCATGATCGGCGATAGCTTCTTGTTGGGTGTCCTGCCTCTAATTGTGGCTCCATGGTGGGTGTGGGGGGGCATTCGTGAATTAAAGTTTTTCCTCGTTTTCATGGCTGATAATGTTTCCCTTGTATTTTTTCAGGCTCGTGGGGTGGGCGACCAAGCCCCCGAGTCTGACTGTGTTGGAAGACCAGGCTCTGTAGCCCCTGCTGCATTGGGCCCCGACGACCTGACTACTCTCCTCAGCTCCCCTCCCTCCCTCTGCGGTAGGGTCGAGTCCCCAGCCCCCAGTGGTGACCACCTCGTCCCCTGGCACGGTTCCGTCTCTCATTGTGACTACTGCGCCTTTTACCCCTATGAACTCTGGGGGTTCTCAACGCCGTTCCCGCCACGGCCGCACTCGCACGATCCCTTCCCGTAATACGCCTTGTTTGGTCCCGCTACGTGGGCTAAATACTTTGTGGATCTCCACCATCTGGATTCTTCTACTGACGATTTCTCCCTCCATAAACACCTTGTTGATTAAGTAGATGCCTCTGTTATTTTTAACTCCACCAGTTACGGTACGCGTGTTGTCGCTGCTCCTTCTCAGGATGCAGCTACTCGCTTGGCCGCTGTCCTGCATTGGAGAGACCCCTAT